CTTGATACGGCCATCCCTTTCACGATTGTGCTTCGACAAGGTTTGCTGTCCCTGGTTTGAGCCTCTCGGCAGTATACTGCCTACCTGCCCACTAGTCCACTACATTATGCCCCAAACACGAGCCAATGTAGGTACCTACATGTTGAACAGCACTTCCACGCAACATGTCCTCTGTCGATGTTTGTACAGCTACTCCAATGTCGTTGGCCTAGTTGGAAGCACGGTTATCCCTCAGGTGGTTTTTTGTTTGTTCAACCAACGACCTGCCAAATCGGAGATGCCAGTACGTAAGAACTATCCGTATCTGCATCAGTGACATATTCAACACAAAACTTTGAGAACCCCATTTGTTTGATCGACAACGACTCTGAGCATCAACCCTGAGATCAGCAAGCATACCCTGATACCGTATTCTGAATGTGGTATTATTACGACAAGATGGACTTGTAAGGCGCACACAAAATCGACAGTACGTACCGTGGTTACGAACATACCATACATACCTACATGTGACACCGTCACGTATCCCGGTCATATATGACAGATTTGGTTCTGGCGCCGGCCTATTCACCCGATCTGGATCAGATACAAAGCAAAAAAAGCAACAAGTACCGGCATCCTAATGCAACAGTCCCGCAGCCTCCATGGGCCACGTCCTGGGGAGTCTTAGCCTTTGGGGTCTCTCTCCATACACAATCCGACAGTGCATTGATTGGATTGGGAATCCCTCTCTCTAGCTAGACTCTAAAATTCTAGGTACTGTACCCGGCTACAACGCTGTTTTTGGGCTGAGTCATGAATTTTGTGGGCTTGGTAAATTGATTGACTCGGCGAATCCCTCTCGGCATATCGCCCAACTTACTTTCACGGCATTATCTGACGGGCTAGGGTTTAGCGCCTAGAAAAACAGGAGAAACAAACAAGTGAGAGATCCACCAAGATTGGATATCTCGGTCCCGTACGGTAGCGTATTGTATCTCGTTACACCCCGAGGGCAGGGCAGGGCGGAGTGTCTTGCGAACGGGCGAACGCGCAACCAAATTACTTCTTTAGCCCTTCCTTCCTTCGCTCGCTCGCTCGCTGGCGTGCCTTGTTGGTGCAGTAAGATGCAATATCACACTGACGCGGCCGAGATCACGCCGTAGAGCGGCTTATCCGAACCCCCCGACCCCCATCATGAGTCTACGATCACAGGATCCAGGGGTCTTGGTCAGTCCATTGCAGTGTTGTTGGGTAGGTTGGATATAACGTTACTTGGCATACTCGAGCGGTGCTACTACAGTATGAATCTCAAGTGCTGTCAGTCAGCCAGTCACTCCCGTGTAGGTGAACAGAGATCAGCACAGCAGAAAGATATACATGCAGCACCAAATGGGCGATTTATGCGGCTCGTCCGGGATATATTCCGCTATGCCCTGCGCCGAGATATTAGGCGAGCAACAAGGTTTTGGAACTTCTGGGGTCGGGCGGCCGAAACTACGGACTTCTGTTTGAGAGTCGATGGTCTAGCCCAGTTGCCCAGGTACCACACCGGGGAGATCTGTGGCGCAGGCGCGAGACATTTTGATTGACACTGGCTCTGTTTTAACAGCTACCGGTGCGCCAGCTATGAACTGGCCAGGTATTTAGGTGCCGGACCCAAAACCTAAACCAACTTAGTGTGTTTCTCGGCATTTCGTGAAAGTCCGTAGATCGGGTAAGGATATCCAAGATGAAAAAGACGACAGTTTTTGGCTCCAAATTGTTTATCCTTCAGGGTATCCATAGAGCCTTGAGTCAAGTGAGTTCATCCTCATAGAACTACGAGGATTATCTGGATCGAAACTAAGCCCCGTCGATGCCGCTCTGATGCTGGGGTCAACATCCTCTTGTTTGTCTTGGCATAATACGGGATACTCTCGTCGTCCTGTGTTGGCTAGCTAGCTGCTTATCACGGTATCTCCCACGCGGGAAACCAATTCCGTGATGATGTACTGGTGGTGCTACAACCACCTACCTACGGAGTAGCCTTGAGAGAAATGCCTCCATCGTCAACCAACAGACCTCGGTGGTTTGATGGTATACGACTCAGCTCCACCGGTACTTGTGGCACCAAACCCGTTGTCGCTGTGATTCCGACGCCCTAATATGTTCTAGCCATGGATACGGAGTACGGATTCAGTTCTGAATACATACATTGTGTTGGGTCCAGTTCAGGTCACCCAATTATTGAAACCGGTAGTATGGTATGAGACCTGCGAACAGGTATCCCAAATTGTCGCAGGATTGTGGCGAGAGGCACTCAGTTACCAACAAGGACAACTGTCAGAGCGCCAAGAAACCGGGGTCTCGACATCTCGACCAGTCGGAAGAGCGTCTGTCCGATGGGTGTATTAAACAGGGATAGGGGGTTTCATCGCGGGTAAGACAATGGCAATGGCAATAGCAGTGACAATGTCGCAATGAAGATTGACATGGGGGCTTCTGCCACATGCGGTAATGCAACAGTCTCACATGCCGGTAAGTGGAAGTTCTACGGTTAACTTGTTTATTAATATCTCTTATTACCGGGAATCACATATATCCCTACGATATAGGTTAGTTGACTTTTGATCATATAGGGTGACTTAATATCAGAAGCTTGATATTGAATGCCTCTGTTCATAATAGTTTGTAGTAATGTTTCAATAACCGTGTTATCATACCGTGTAGTTTTTTTTTTCTCTCTTTCTCCTGTGTGTTTTTGAAGCATGCGGCTAGTATTGTCACGATATGTGTTGTTGTTGTAATGTATTTGGTGTTTAATGATTGCTGCAACTCATTGCTAGGGGTTGTAAGCTTAGGTGACACTGAGTAATTCATAAATGAGTTCAACGAATTCACATAATATTAGACACGCAGAACATGCCATAAAAACAAGAGCTTACCATCTCATAACCATAACACGTCCTTATTCGTTTGATAGAAGCATCTGGATCTCGATGCCAGGAGCTGGTATCATGACCTGCAATGACACAGTTCACAAGATCATCAGCAATAACAAGGGAGTGAGAATACAAGTTCAATATCTAGCAACAGAAGAAGGCTCGCGTATATTGAGTAGATATGACTAGTCAAAATGGAACAATTTTTGATAAGACTATCTCACGTGTATCGCTATTCTTCCTGTCCATGATGCATACTCGTGACCCATGGCAGAAATGAGAATACATTATTTCTAGGGCTGATGTCGAGAGAAGTGGAATAAAGCTGTCCCTATCCTATGAGGTATACACTGAAAGAACTGTACATGAGCAATGAGCCTGGGAGCCGATGACTGTCTGGTTGCGCTGATGCTCCTTGGTGCCCCTGAGTCCCATCGTGAAAGATGGTAAAGCCTTCATTTTATTCAGCCTCGATGAGACAAACACTCGAAAGTGACAATCGGAGTGCTAAGTAGTCATGTATGTTGCGTCGGATGCTCTTCTATGAGGAACAAGTGCCGAGAGATTGTAGTGACATGCTAATATGCCAAACTCAGAGACCTTCACATAGGGAGAAGACCAACGTAAGACCGTAGGAGTGAGGGAAGCAGGCCAGACGGACCTTTTTTCCCAGTGCAAGTAAAGTGTATCAAATCCCCCCCTCCCTATTCTCAGAACTGCACAACAACATGCAAATCTCTCCGCCAAGATCTGTATGTTGAAATGCAAATCCACCGAAAGTGTTCAGTGACGACTTGAGGGCGCCAAGATAAGTTAAAATGTAAGAAAGGTTCTCTATTAATCTGAAGCCTGATTTTTTATACTCCTTTGTTATCAAAAGGCTCGTGATCAACTTATACAATTTTCTAAACGAACTGGCTATCTCGAGTATAAATTTGATCGATGTGTGAAGTATTTACTATTTTCTCTGGATCACAGCCAAGTAAATGAGACATCAATCGTGTCTTAGAGTTATCCGATGTAACAAGCGTTGAAGTTGTGTGAAAACCTTGTTTCCGATATTGGCCATGTGGCCAAAGTGGTCGATAAGAGACTACGCGTATGATGCCTGGCTCTGGGAAGCCTAGGGAATGGAAAGTAGAGACCACTAGTTAAAATTGGAAGTACTTCAGAGTTATACCATATGACTTGCAGTGAGGTAGTATATCAAATAGTAAGTGTCGCTTGAAGTTCACCATGCAGGACACTCGCATCCGAGTGTGTGACCCTCCAAGATTCGTGAGCATAAGAGGGGCAACACAATGACGACTTAAATCAAGGTTACTAGAGTATCATCCGACCTTACACATATACTCAGTACCACCTTGTATGTGGATGACTGACACTGACGTTCTGTTGTCAAGCAATATCGAGGGTCATCACAGGAGGAGCGCCGATGTTTGTATTCATCTGACGCCGCATAAGTACTAAGGAACACTTAATAATATATGAGATGTAATTGTTCTCATGCTCATAGAATGAGAAGTGGATGAATAGCAATGAGTTTGTTAGACTGTTGTAACTTGCGTGTTAAAGGTTACCCATGACTAGCTTTTGACAAAACATGACATACACTCGATTAGTGGTGAAATAGAATCATTTGAGCTTTGCATAGAGTATTCAAGGAGATTTATAATCGAGAAATACGTTGAAAGAATCGATGCCGTTGTTAAACAAAGGGATTAGAACTAAGACTATAGCAAACCCGATGTTGTATCTGGTCACGAAAATAAACCGAAAAAGGGACATGCCAATTATGGAAAGATAACGTCATATTCAAGCGGGTGATTAAGGTTGTGCAACTATTACGGGTGAAATCGCCTCGCATGAGACAAAGTCGTATGACATTGTTGGTAGGATCAATAAAGGGAACAATGCGGCTTATTTCACGGTATATTACGTGTCAGATTTCGGGGTTGATTCAACATCAAACCCTTCTGTATTAACTATAATGCTGCATATTGATTACGTTGGTTTTGAGCTCACGAGGTACAATATAAGAAATGCGATAAATCGGCTTCATCTGCCCCTTGATCACAACCGTCCATTGCTCACAAGATGACCTCGCAGCTTAACTCCATCTTCCATTCCTTTTCCAACCTCACTCCACAGAGTCAGCGTCTGGCTATAGCAGCGGCAGCCGGGGTAATTATTGGGATCCCGGTCTTCCGTATCGCAGCCGAAGACTACCGTGGATATATTGCTCTCGGGCCTGGAGGTGTACCTCACAACCTCATCGGATGGATCGGCCAAATCCTTCTAAAGCCACTGAAGAAGGAACCTTTTCATACGAGATGCTATGATGAGAAGTCGTGCGAGGAGGCAGGTCCTAATGGACATGTCGCTTTCTTGAGTGAGAAAGATGTTCCTGTCCGTGAAGCACCGAAGCCAACGATAGGGAAGTGGACGGCACCAAGTCGGCAGTTGACGGATATGGCGAACCAATCTCTTATCGAGGTAAGTGTATTGCCTACAACAGAGTAACGTTCAACTAAGTAACAGAGTCAGGGCTACCAGTCATTCCTGTCATCTCTAGCATCATCGTCCTCGTCAAGGCTCAAGATCGCAACATCTCTTGCAGAGCGACGAGGCCCAGCCCTCTTCGTAGCCTCCGAGAAGCCTTCCCATCCAATCGCAAAGCGTGCAGGAGGAGAGATTGGGCATATGCATGGCAGCGATGGTTCAATGCATATCAACCTGGCTCCAAAGGATGCAAAGCTTGTTTTGGAGAGAGGCTGGGGTCAGCGTCACCCACTGAGTGGCACTGTTCTGTATCTGGGTAACGTGATGGTTTATGCGCCGAGGAACGAGGATGAGCTCGAGGTTGTAAAGAGTATCACACGCGCAGGTGTGAAGTTCATGCTTGGTGAGGAGTGTTAGGTCAGAGAAACGGGATTGAGGAGATATAGTATCGTGTTCAAAGGATGCGAGCGCGCTTTATTTATGACATCACTTCTCTTTCTATCTCTATATATAATCGCGTAACATAAAGTATACGAAGAGGTAACCTGAAGGTACAGCAATGTTGTAACTTAGTGTGATCACATGCTCCTGTCTGAACTCAGACGAAGTGACGACAACGGCGTCAGACATTAACGGCAACTGCAAAGTCTTTGCCTGCCAGGCATATGAGTAATACAGACAATGGATCAGCTCACAACCCAAAAATGATACAAACAAAGAAACAAACAAACAGTGTAATAAAAAACAAGATACAGACTCACAAAACTTACAAAAAATGCAAAAACTGCAAAAAAAGAAACCTAGCAATTGCACGTTTCGATCGTGCGACCTCCGGGTTATGAGCCCGGCTATGTCTGTTAGTATCATTGGACAACTGATGCGTGTTGTAGAGAAACATACCGCGCTTCCACTGCGCCAAATTGCTTTCTTGGTGACAGAGGGGGCTGAAATTGTCGTATATATCCCCTACCCCTTCTAGAGAGGAAAGAAAACTTAATACCCCTGATCCTAAATGACAAAAAGATTTAAGTAAATTAGTATAAACTTAGCCTAAGTTTAGGGTATCTTTTGCCGAGTTTATTTTAACGCCCTATCGTTAGGCCTAGTATTTTCTTACCCCCAAGGCCCTCACAGTCATAGGAGCGGGGGCGGGGTAAACTTAGCACACACAATCCATAGCATAGTGCCAGAAGAAACAAATCAGTTTATGGTATTATTAGCTGTTTACAATAAAGTTAAAAATACAAGATGTATTATAAATCAGTTTTGCATTTCATGAGATAGAATTTACTAGAACATAAAGTGTGCCCTTATATTGAATAAGGCTTTATTTTACCCAGACGGACAGCATCTCAATGATAGTGGGACTTTGCAAAGCCGCCTGTCACCCAAGAAAGCAGCTTGGCGCAGTGGAAGCGCGGTATGTTCAACAAACTCCATCCAAAACTACAAAGCTAACTCGTCCCAGCCGGGCTCATAACCCGGAGGTCACTGGATCGAAACCAGTAGCTGCTATGGTATTCTTTTTTTTTTACCCTTATCTAGAGCAAACTTGTTTATGCTGTTTCTCCACACTGGAATTGTCTTCCAGGTCATGTTTTGCTACTGCTGCACATTCAACATTTATGAACAGGCTTGGGTGATGCTTGCCTACAGAGTTTCGAGCAAAGACTCTGACTCAAAACTAACAAGCATATTCGCTTTGTCCAAGTTGATCATCTGCCACTGATACGACAGTAGCAAAAGGAATCAGTATAAGGTATGTTGGAGTATGCCGCTACGATGAACCCCAAGTCTCTAAAATGGCACTGATCCTCTACAGTCCAGCTTTGGCGCTGCCAGTCGAGGCTATGCACTTGGGGTAACAATCAAACTTACATCAAAGGGACAAGCCAAGAGCTACAGATCTATTTGGCCACATTTTTCCTTGTTTTCGCATAGCATATCTCGAAGCTTGAATTGCGCCGCAATGCTCGTCTATCTGTGACATCTTCACAGCCCCCATTCTGGAGATGATAGAGCGCCGGATATAAGCCCTAAAGGTAAATTGACCAACCCGCCAGCCTTACAAGGGCGCCTAAAAACGTCATAACCAATCGTTAATACCGAGCTAAGACTGCGGCAGTGCCTCAGCGGCGTGGAGATCTGCAGATCTTTCCCGTAAACAGTAGCAATGCAGCGCTCACCTTTAAGGAGAAGGATCACAGCAATTGGGTATATAAGATGAAGTAATTGCCAAGGTACAGGAATGATATCGATTCAAGAGAACAAGACAATCAAATACAAAGACTTGATCATAAACACTTTACACAAACACATCTTTTATCATTCTATACCAACTACCAACTTCTTACCTTACACATCTCACAATGGGTCACTCAAACTCAACACTTCAATCTCATCAGCTCTCAGCTGGTGGAACCGAAAAGGGAATTCCACCCATCATCCGCGTCTCATATGAATCAGGCTGGAGGAAATACGCCTGCTTTGCTCGCATGAAACTCTTTCTTAGTGGCCCCAACGGCGAGCCTATGTACACACTCAACTTCGCCAAGGGCTTATACGGCGACATCATCCTCCACAGCGGATCATCCATCGACTCACCACCACTGGCTGCTTCTGGTAGACAGTCGAGCCTGCGCGATGATTATTTAATCACATTACCTTCACTTTCTGGTAATGCTCCTCAAGAGGAGATCCTCCGTCGTCCCAAAGGACTCAAGGGACGATTCTGGTTTGCTATCCAGGTCGGCCATGGCCTGGACCAGCGCGTAGAGCGTTTCGAATGGCGACGCTCTCGAGGCGCTGAAGTCAAGAGCGTTGGTCAATCACGCTGGGGCGGATACAAGCTCGTCCGTCTTGGCAGCACAAACACCAAAGAGGAATACTCCTCCAGCGAAGAAGATCTTCACGATGGTAGCACCAACGGAGAGGGCTACACCAGCGACGGCAAGGAGGTCGTTGCTGTTTGGGGAAGCACAAACTGCCTCAAGAGTTTGTCGGGTGTTGGAGAGTTTCAATTCCGAGGAAGCGGTGCTACAGGCGAGTTGGGCCAGTTGTGGGCGTTGATGGCTGTCATGAGCTGCATGTCGATCTGGCAGAAGGTTCAGAGAGATAATGCTACGGCTGGTGCGTCATCCTCATCGGCTGCTTCGGCTTCTGTAGCAGCATCTGCTTAGTCGATGCCTGTGTTTGTGTTGTTTGTATTGTACATCATCAGCGAGTGTTTCTTTGTTCAGAGAGGGTCTTATGATATCCAGGTTGCGATAGTGTCTTTTCCACGATAGAAATTAGAGTATCTCATATTTCTTCTGTTACATGATCATGCCGTAAAGTGAACTCAGTGATGTCCTTTCGATGATGGTCAAGAGATTGAGCATTTTCCATGAATGTCTGGAGCTGTACGGATACCTGCCTCATGCATAGCTCAATCCGCCCCCACCATGAACCCACAGTAAAAATCTATTCTCACGATAGCTTCATCGCCAAAAATTACATACAACAGCGGGGATTCGCTGGTCGTCACCGACCCAACTACTAATCCGCCCCTTACCAGCTTGACTATGGGAGAGCGGACGGGATCCCGTATTTTCTGGTAGGTATGGTCGTATGTGCTGTCTGTATGACCAAATGCAAGTTACATGCTGACCTCGTTCAAGCCTCAGTGGTGTCTTGCCCTCTCAACCAGACGTTCAGCACACATGCCAATTTGTTGCTGACCCTCATTGGAGCTCAGATAGGCCTCAGCCAGACGTTCAATCTCATCCATGCGTTCCACAGCGGCGAGGTCAATGGCACCGAGTTCAAGTGTCCCGTTGAGTCGAAAGTACCCTTCCTTCCTGATATCTGCGAATCTCGGGTCTTCAAGAACAGCTCTATGATGCTTCTCTGTGCTCGTGGCCATGTTAATCATGTAGTTCATGAAACCTGCAAGTCCTGCGCTTGCGTCTGAGGCTTGGTATGCACCAGTACCAACACTAATCACAGTGGAGATCTTATCATCCGGGAACTCCTGTTTGGCTTCTTCGATTACTTCAATGACGGGGTTATTGCTCTCGAGCCCACCATCGAAATAGGAAACACCGCCCGCTTCTATGTGTGGGAAATACATTGGCGCTGCTGATGTTGCTCGTGCTGCTTCCCAGATCTTGAACCTTTCAGCTGGAGCATTTGCTTGTTGGTCGAGGGGTTCGTATGATCGTATTCGCTTCACCTTTTCCTCGTACTTGGGCACGGCACAGACAAAAGAGTACGTGGCAGACTTCATGTCAGTGATGAGAGTCAGGTCCTCCACTGTACAGCCACTTTGCCTCAGCATAGCCGAGTCACTGGGAAGAAGGTTCTCTTTGACGGTACGACAAACGGCTTCTTTGAGTTTATCGCCATCAAACCATGGCCAGCTTAGAGCAACATTGCTGGCCTTGCGGAAGCTCTCTAGGAAGGGCACCTTGAATTTCCTAGAAAACACTTCCTTGGACAGTGACTTGTAAGCTTGAATACAGAGCTGAGTGTCCATCTGAAGCCGACCGAGCATGATAGCTAGTAAGCCTCCTGTACTTGTACCGCCAATGAGGTCGAAATAGTCGCAAGGCTTTTTGTTTTCTGCACCAGAGCCTTCAAGGCGTCGTGTCTCCTGCATCAGCCGATCAATGATGATGATGCTAAACAATCCTTTGACACCGCCTCCATCAAGTGACAAAAGACATAGACCTCGAGATTCAGGCGCGATCGGCCTATGCAGTCGAGTTTCGACGTCCATGGCTCGAATCATGAACGAATCAAGAGCGTCGAGTACACGAGCGAGGTTCTCATCTCGTGGACTTTTAAAGCATACGAGGGACTGGTGGTCGAGATCCAAGGGCATGGTAGGAACAGGACGGGCGACCAGAGTTGATTCATCCTGAGTAATAAGAACACGTCTCTGGGCTCATGTTAGCTTCAGATCTGGAATATGAGTGACAAGATTCACTGACATTCAGTCCGCCGGGCCCCTTGGTTTCGTAGAAGCAATTGATGAGGAGGTTCTCTCCACCAAGACGACGAAAGGCATGGTTCACACGAAAGGTGGTATACATTGCCTTTTCCAACTCATGAGAGTGGCCGCCCAATGTACCTGAAGCCCCGCGGCTCAAAGCTCTCCAAAACTCGGGAACTTCAAGCTTAGCCCGACTCATGTCTCTGTCTTTATGGATTGTCCCAAAGAACACATACCCACGAATATGGCCATGAAGAGCCTTGTAGTCTGCATCGTCTGTGTTGGAAGGGTGTGTAGCAACATACACCTGCTTCAGAATAGTGCCACCAAAGCTATGACCGAGGAAGATAATCGGTGACTTTGAGCGGTTCCCTTGACGACGGTCTCTGATGATATCGTGAATTAGACCGTTTATGTCAGGAGGGTGTGCTGACAAAATAGAGAGCATATCTGGGTAGTTGAGAGAGAGGATTCTGCATGATGGGAACTTGGGTATGAGGGCGTGCTTGAGCCAGCAGTATCCGAAGGAGCTCCATGTACGATTCCAATCGCCTCCTAGACCATGAAGAGATACGATACTGGGAACAACTTGTTAGTGTTGGTCTGGCGGCATCGGCAGCTGCTTACTCTGCAGATGCTTGATCCGTTGCGTTGATCCCGCCTGTAAGAGAATGGATCGTCCGACTACTATACGATGCCATTTTGAGTTGGTGATGCAATTTTGTGACTGATGGACAGTTCAGTACCAAATCAAAGCCCGGTTTACCTTTTGCATGCTCTTGTGCAAAGTTCCTATTTTTGGCTGTTGGCCCTCATAAAGGGCTAGCATAATGCACCTATTGCCTCGAAGATGCTAGCGAGGTGCATATGTATTGGCATTACAGAGACAACGACCTGGCCGAAAAGCAGGCTGGGGCTTCAAAGACCCCGTGAGACTGACAGACCAATCTAGGCCGAGTTTTATTAGATAGAGACATGGGTATTGTGCAAGCACCCATGCGAGGTACAAGATGCTACTTTTCCAATAGGGTATCATTTGCGCCGATCAGGCAGACATACTTAAACACAAACACAAATGTGAAGACAGCCTTCAGTTTCACCAAGACCCCTCACGAGAAGTGCAATTGATAAGAGTCTAGAATCAGACCATTGTCTCACTCACCCACAATGGCCATAACCTCAGCTGTTGCACCAGAAATAGAACGTATTCCACTCGTAGCCTGCTCAATGAGCTTCTGATCAATAGCCTTCAGCTTCGCCTTTGCAGGGAATTGCAGAATGTTCTGCAAGATCCCATTCAATCTCGCCGCCATCCCACGCCTGGTCTTCTCATATTGACACTCCTGCAGTTCTTGTGATATCTCAAAGATGTTGAGCCTCGCCTTTTCCAGTGCCATCTGCACTTCACATAGAGTCTTGAACGCTTTGCTTGATTCTTGACGGATAGTCAAGTTTGCGCTTTGGATCTGCTTGATTTGATCCATGTAATAGGCGCAGCTGTCGTGGTGACGACCTGATTGTGCCATTTGGAGTTCAAGTGACTTCAGTTCTGAGTCGTGGCTTCGGACGAGAAGCTCGTGTTCTTCCTTTTGTACTCTTAGGGCTTCTTGTTGCTCGGAATTCATACTACGAGAGGTACCAGTTCGTCAATGAGGGCCATAGAGAGTAGTTTGGATGACTTACAGAGTTTTGACACCGGCTACTATTCCTACCGAAATACCAATAACTGGCATTGCAAAAGCTCCCGCTGCCGCAATTACTGTAACCTGAAGATCGAAGAGTCAGCGAGAGATCAAGTGGTTCTTACACGCGTGGCGATCTCACCGCTCCCCACGTATTTTTCCAGGCTCTTGCAGAGTCATGATCTGCCGTGAGCTCCTCAAGTCGTTGAATCTGCTGTGTCAACTCTGCCATTGCCCCAGAACACTCCACATCCTGGTTCTGAATCTGATATTTGAGGTCCTCCAACTCCTGCTTCAGCTCAGCTTCAGCAGCTCTCATAGCTTCAAGGTTCTCTTCAACTCTAGAGTGACTAATTTGCGAAAAGTCCTTCTGGAAGCGTGTGGTATCATCGATACTCTCTCCTATGATCTGCCCGGCGTATTCAAACTGGGTCTCGACTTTATGTACGCCATTCTTGAGTTTCGCCGTAGTCTTGTTCACGGTATGTTCTGTTCGCCTATCAATGCCGATCAAACGAAGAGCTGATTTGAGATGTGGACTGCGGTCGTGCCATGTAACTAGACGTTTATCGTGTTTGCGAACGAGAGTTATGACTTGGAATAGACTCTTGACGGCTTTCTCAAGTGAGGAACGGCATCGCTCGGATTGTGTAGCTCGCATTTCTAAGTCGGCTGCTTTGAGGGATTGATGCTGCTTTTGCAGCACAGTCAACCGAGCCTGAAAATGGTCCAACGAGATCCCTCCCGAAGTTGACATTTTGGTTATTGAGGCCAAGTTTTGTAACTGGATACAATGGTCGGATTGATTGCAATGCCAGGATTGACGGTAGGAGTTGAAACTACTCGGCTATTCTTGAAATGCGATGCCGAGCCTGATAAACCCATACACTATTTAGACTCGGTAGGCTCTCTCCTAGAGTAACCAAGACAATACTGCATGCATGCTGCCCTTGTATAACCTATCAGGCCCTCCTTTGGGAAGAGCTGAAAACTAAAATGCGGGCGCCTACCATGCATAAGTCGACCCCTGTCTCCGAACGAGGCTTTGGCTTTTATCGTGAGCGGGGATAGGCTCAACGAGGGTTAAAACTGCCTTTAGCTTGCATATGGAACTCCCTAGTAAGAAACAGGTGCAGATGAAACGTTGGCACATATACATTAAGGTACTTCATGGACGTGGGTAACCCCTCTTAAGATCAGTCGGTGCTTCTGGGATAAAGCTGTTTGTTTGAGGCTCTGAAATTCTATCGATGGATACTTAATCGCCTTTTAAACTTTCTGTCTGCTGTACTCAATCTCTTAAGAGAATCCGATATCGCCAGCTCCATCATGGGCAGCTTAGTTCGGTTCCCGGCCGAGATGTCTCAAGGACCTCGTGATAATCTGTTAGAGCCTTTGATCAGAGCCGAGTTGCTCACTCAGAAGCTTCAGTTGTGTCTCTACATTTCTACGACAAGCAATGCCACGTCTGTCTTTCTAGTAGACGCAGATGGCTTCCCAGGGTAAGAGACTTTGTTTATACCAATAAGCACTTTTGTCTTGGGAAACTGGAATACTAACTAACGCTGTTATCAGGAGCGACAACTTGTCTACAGCCCTGGCTGAGCATTGCCATATGGGACTCGACAAACTGGTGGAAACACACGGAGCTTTCTACAGTATATACATGAAGACCAAATCCATGATACAGGATACGGGAACGGTGAAAGTAACGAGCCAGCTCATGGCGTATTAATGCTAACTTCTTGGCTACCAGCTGAACGCACTTCAAAGTACATTTGGTGTCCCCGGCGAGAAAGCATCTTTCGATAGGCATCTCAGGAAGCTCACAAACGCAACGGAAGTATGCAGAAAACAATGCGATGAGCTTGACAAGAGTCTCCAAGCCTGGCGTGCTTCCGTCGACGAATTCAGTCGTCGTATCAGCAAGACCAAGGGTTAGTTCCACAGAATTCCTACAAGTTTTACAGGCTGATTAATGATGATAGATATCATGAACCAGCAAGAGAACGCAACAAACAAAGAGATCGGTTCTTTGAAGACCGAGATAAACGACCAGATCTACAACCAAGATAGAGCTCAAGCAAACGAAGATGCCGCTCGAGCCCGGCGAGAGGATCTTTCCAGGCAAAAGAACAAATTAGCAAACCAAATCGGAAGCCTCATTCAGTCTGCTGGTTCTGCAAACATCGGTGGAAAGATGCTCGTGGCTGGAGGTCAGATGGCTGCTACGTGGATACTCAACCTTTGGGCGAGCAATGATCTCCAATCTGCGCAGAGTAACATGCAAGATCAGCTTGAGAGAGGCCAGGAGTATAGAAGACGTAAGGAGGAGGCTGAGGTTGATATTCAGAAGCTTTCGACGCAAGCTAATGAACTGGTAATGTCCTTGTCCCTGCCTCATTTACACAATACTGACTCATCGGTACAGAAACAATGCATTGAAGTCTTGCAGCCTGTTCAATTGCTGCTTCATGGGATCATAGATTGTCTTCGTAATGCTGCCATTCATCACAACGAGATGCTCGCAAAGATGCAATCGTTTCTTGAGAGCTGTTCTGAGTCCAAGGAAATAGCCACAGGAATTCCTGATGGGCTTTCCTTTGGAGGCACTCTGGTAAACTGTCCCATAAACCACTTGACTGTATACAGAACTGAACTTTGTAGGACTTTCTGAACGAAATTCAACTCATGCGCCAAGGTGCACTCGAGATCGGACACTGGTCGCTCATCTACTCCAAGGTGATCCAACAAACAATGATGAAAGGTTTTCAGCAAAACGGGACAAACTTCTCACATGAAGATGTACTTTTCACCATCCAGCAATCTCGTCAACAGGCGATTGAATCTGGAAGTGCAAAGCTTATTGCAGGCCAGGTACCACTCGCTCTCTTTCTGAGCTTGTCAGGTAAACTAACATCTTGTCTAGTTGAAGCAACAGCACGAGGCTGAGGTTGAAGCCATTAAGAAGGATCACGATGAGGTTGTTGGAAGGCTGAGGAGGAAGAATGAAAAAGAGCTCAAGAAGGTGGCGAGAAGTGGAAAGATGAGAAAATTACTCCCCTTTTCCAAGGCATCATAGTCTACTTTCAGCTTGGCTTCTGAGTTTAACTGGAGGTAGAACAGACACTTTTCAAGCAGTCAAGCGCACATATATGTAAGGGAAGGCCTTGGATACGGTGCGTAAGTAAGCTTAGGTCTCTCAATTTGCTTCAAATAAGAGCTATTGTTCATCACCTATTTTCTGGTTTGCATAAAAAGAACCTCCGCCGCCACTGCCCACCAAACCGGTCGCCCCTTTTCTATATCTGCTATCTTTATCATCCCATATTGAGCACGTCTTCGATATCAGTGTAAGCGTCAATATTCATAGATATAATTGACATTCATCACCAGTACCAGGGCCCGAAAATGCCTTGTCCAACAGACAGTTTGCAGGTCGGTTACCGCGAGAGTTGAGACTGAAACAGTTCACTCCATTTTAATTGCCGGCTCTGGGAGGAAGCGATCGTCGATTTTGTGATTTTCGCGCAAGGAAATGCCTCCTGAATCGTCTACTTCAAATATGGCAAACTCTCCATTCTTGATCGTGCCTAAAACTGCACTTTCGATCAAGGGTAGAAAGTAGGCGTCCTCCATATAACCACCCAAGTCGAAAGAACCATCGTTAGAATCGCCATTAAAACACCTGTTCCAACTTTCAAACCATTCAAGTTCGCTCTTGATGATGTCATCTGGGATATGAATTTTGATGTTGTAGCCGTTGTCCCTCATTCGGTTCTCAAGAACTTCAAGATGCTCCTTGAAGGCAGTTGGAATGTCGAGTTTCATGCAACCACGGCCACAAGCCACCACATCACGTCGTTCATCAAAGCTATCAACAATGTTGACTTTTTTGAGCTGACCCTTATTGCGAGCCTCGGGAAAGTTTTCAGATGGAAATGCCTGTACATCCACATACTTGATTGTTTTGTCGTCGAAGCGAATTGCCATTCGAACCTTGTGGAGTTCATACTGGCCGTATTCATAAAATTTGGCTAGAATATCTCTGATGGGGAAGGGAAAAGGCTCGCCATCTGATGGGCTATGGAGGGTGATAGAGGCTGCACCATCAACGGGAGTTCCAATAGGCATGTGGGTGAAGCTGCTGGAGCACCGAGAATTCTCGAAATCTATGCGACCAGTAGGATGAACAGGTCCAAGACGAGAGACATTCTGAGACTGGACGAAGAGCTTTTGGATGAAGGGTCCAAATGAAGGACAAGAAGACCAGCGCCTGACATCATCCTCCTGAGCAGCAATCAATGCGTGTAGCATTTGGGGCGTGCCCCCGACCTTGCAGAAGAAGTCAAAATGGATCTCAGTGAGATCAAGGTCAATTTCGGAGTTCGGCATGGTGATATTGAATGAAAGGTTTGTTGTGAGATGAAGCAAAGACCTGATGGGCTCATTGTTAGTTTGGTGATCATTCATATATGTCGAGCCTATGGCCGATGCTCACCTGGAGGAGTTCGAGAGCAGGGCTGACAACCTCTGTGAAATGATGAAGAGATGAAAGGAAGAAAGGATAAAAGGAAAGTCAGATGGAGAGAAAGGGGGTATTTATACTTGGGATGAGGGAGGCAGCTTGGCACGATATCAGTCTGATTCACTGTCAATACTTCTCATCACAATATTAGTTAAGGCATACACATAAAGCTGTCACATAAGGCACAAGCCGCAGTGCTAAAGCTCCTATAGGCGAAATATGGCTGATTACAGAACTTTTCACTCCCGAGAACTGGCTCTGGCTATCCTTTTCCTTGGATGGGCCCAAGTGAAGACTAAGCAGATGTGTTTAGTATGCATATCACTTAGGATCTACTGCGGTGCCTCAATTCTAACCAAATTCTTATTTGAATCATAGTGAAAATTATGTTGAGAACAGATGTGATCTCGAGACACCGAAGAAGATAGGGTTGCTACTGTAATCGCTGTTTTCCCATGCGCTCTCTTCTCTACCCCTGAGTTTCTGAGGTATAAACTACTGTCCTCTTAGTATCCTTTCGACGAACCATTCCTTTGGTGATACTTATCCTGGTTCTCGGAAAGATGTAGATGCTGCCTAGATACATAAAAAGAAGGCTGATGAATAGTTCACGACATTTGCAATCTTCAGTCAGGCTGATGCTTTTTGAGTTGTATTACTGTGGCAGCTAGCAAGGGCTCTAGCTCCCAGCACAAGTCCCCAGCACAGACATGGCGGTTTCTATGTGGTCCTGTATCATTCAATGACTGACAACGCTTTCTTTGAAGGGCTGGCTTCGTGGTCCTTGTTTCCCGACAGAACCTCTAGTCGCTTCCCCAACCAAGCTTGATCTGTAGCAAACTGAGGACCATGGGGCCTGTAACATATTTAACAGCTCTTCCCTACTCAGAAGGCTGTGACTTATTATATAGTTGGCGATTACCTTTTTTTGTGAACCGGGCAGAAGGAGCTACCTAGGCACTTCGAGCCTGGTACTGAAAAGAAGCTCGCTGTTACATCAGGTTGATTGAGAACGATCATCCCTGGCACTGAGCCCTGGAAGCATTACTGGTCAGATATCGAATGTAGATAAGAGCTTCAGGGACTTACATTGAGGAAGGTCTTGCTAAACTCGGGAAATGACCGTCTGATATATAGTAGAGACTCATTGTATATATATAGTCACTGGTTAAGACATGCTTTCTTATACAATCTTAGGAAAATCCATTTCTTTCAAGCTGCACACGCTCGAGAGACCCCCCAGTAGCTGAGAGGGGAGATATGTTCTATAGACGTAGGCAGATAGATCAAAGTACTAAGTGGTCCTCTGCTGTCCTACTGATAGGGGGATGTGTGGCTTAGAAGAGGAGACTTCAAGATGGAAAGTAGCATCGTTTTTATACCCGTATCTGAGATGTTTTTATCTTGCAGTTTCATGTTTTACCTTGGTTTATTCTTGTTCCTTCATTTGCTAGGCACTGAGGCGATTTCACGTTGAAATGTTGATCAATTCGATCCAACCCCAGTTTATCCCTTTAGGTCAACACCAAACATTCTATGGCTTGGTATATCAAAGATAAACAATCATCAGACAAGCAAACATAAAGCCAGATAGACAAATCATAAACTCATGTTTTCACAATTGTTATCTTCATTACTCATTCTCCTTACTTCCCGAGACCGTATCTCATTCCTACGGTTTCTGCGACGGATCTCATTGTAAGTTATAGCATCACTATCAAGCCTCGGGCCAAGAAGCGTAAGCTTAGGCTTGAACTATATAGACCCATAATACTAAGTATACCGTTTTCCAGCACTTCTTGAGTCCGAGGGTCAGGGAATTCGACCACGAGACCTGTAGTTAGTTCTTGTAGTTTAAACTGGCAAAAAAACAGATTGCTCAGTTGCAATGGAAACACCTGAGCTTTGTTCTTTTCTATTCTTATGGCTGACTATACAGTCATGTTTGCATCAAACACAAAACAAGAGTTTACTCTATTGCGAGGCACTTGTAGCCTTCTTCTTTTCCAGAGCCTTTTCCAGCGCCTCAACCCGCTTATCAATCTTCTGGAAGGACCAGCCTTGGAAGGCAGGTGGGTAGAACAAAGGGCGAAGGTCAAATCTGTGGTCGTCGGGCGAGTAATTTTCTCTGGGTAAAAGTCAACATCTTCAACACAATACACGATTCAAGACGCCCGCTTACACATGAACAGCTGGTGTTGCTACAGCTTGTTTGTGACTATATTTTGTTAGTAAAGGGCCATTTTCCCATAGGAACGTTGCTTACCGGTTGATGTAATGGAAGTGGTAGAAACGCTTCACCTTAGTGGCGATTTCTCGTGGGCTCAGTTTGCCCTCTCCACCCCATTCTTCGACAAGTCGTAGGAACATGCCGTACGGCCCTAACTTGCTCTCCTTACGTAGTCGCTGCAACAAGGTGTCAGTTTCATCACAACATTGCCTTTCATCCATAGATGGTTCACTTACTCCAAAACGAGCTAGTTCGTCATAGGTCATGCCCATATCAACTGCAGACGTCAATGAGTGGACTCACAACAGGAGATGATCACATACCCTCATCTGACTGAACATAGTTTTCGGTGATAGGCTCTAGCTCAGCCGTGGCTATGTTGATGTTAGTCTTCTCTAACCCAACCACGTGATAGATTTCGTACGTGTAGCATGAATAAACTCTTCCAAAATCGGCATGTCGAAGTTATTGGCTGCCCATGAAATAAAACTCTTGAGATCCCTTTTGCTAATAGCACCTATAGGATTGAGATCGGCGGAAGAACAGCTGGTCATCTCTTAGCATGATTCACATCAAGTGTATACGGCGGGCGAAGCTCTTACTCGTATTTTGTAAGGTCTAGAAGATATCGTTAGTCAAGATCACAACACCCTTCTTGAAGGCACACTCACATCCTCGGAGACACTCGTCAACATTGCTAGATCCTAGAACAAGGAGGCTTCCTCCTCCTGGTCGCTGTCGAACTGTTGGTAGCATCTGAGCGTAGTAATAGGCGATGACCATGCGACTGCGTGCCTGGATATTCTGCAGTGCCACTGCAAGAGTTAGTATATCACTTAAAAAGGGGTTTGACATGCATTGTGAGGAGTAAAAGAACGTACAATTTTCAGTCGCTGATCCGCCATGAACCTTGAATTTGGGCTCGAATCCTGTGCCTTGAGTGAGCAAGTTCTTGGTGGCGTGGAAGGTATCGTCAATGTTCATGTCAGTGTGGTAACTACCGATACGCTCGGCAAGATCCTTTGCGCGCTGTCGAGTCTCCTTGCTGCTCTGCTTCTCCATACCCATGTACACCGTGTGGAAGATCTGGTTGCAGAACTCCTCGGCGGTTTCGGGGAGCTTATCCGAGAACACAGCAATTCTCTTAACGTCTTCGATGACCTCCTCATTACCAGCCTTGATAGCCTCAACTACGAGTCTGCACATGCTGAATACAATGGTGGCGGTTGCACAGGAGTCGATACCTCCTGAGAGGGGGACCAAGTAGCCAGATGCTCTGCTTCTTCGGACTGCCCAATAGTTAGTATTTTCAGTTCTTTCGAGGTCAAACTCCGGCGGCCAGAGCGACAAGGACAAACGTACGGTAATCCCAAAGCCAGCAAGCTGGGCCAAGAGCCTATATCTCAAGTCAGTCGAATTACTCCAACCAAGTTCTGTCTGACGGATGAACGTACAATTTCTTCCTCGGGGACATGATAACGGGCTGGTCTAGGAGCTGTTGGGGCACGAAGGAGGTCAAGATCCTCATGACCCAGGCTGAAATCAACCTCGATTCTCTCATACACAGGAGCTTGGACAGCCTGAAAGTTGCGAGATGGGGCGAATCTATAAGCGCGAACTTCCTCGAGATCAACGGTCGCGGTAACAACTTCGACATCGTCCAAGCTGAACTGGGAGCCTTGAGCCACGATCGAGCCATTGACCATGATGAGAGATGCACCATCGTAGAGAAGCCTGTCTCCATCGGAGCCTAGAGAATCGTCAGACCAAGCAAGATTGAGGCGGTCGTTGGAGAAAAGTACCAGACTGGTTTGCATAGAGGTATACACCACCACTCTTGCGAGTTGCTTCAGAAATTAGAGCAATACGCTCATCAAGCTTTCTTAGTGTGTGATGAGAGCCAGAGGAGTTGGTGAAGATTTCCACGCCGTTGAGAGCCCTGGACAAAAGTCAGTCATAACCCAGAGGTCCAATAGCTGGTGATCCCTCCACTAGTATAATTTGAGCTATTGGGTGATTAAAACATACATGTTAATGTGAGGTGCCTGGGGGGTAAAGAGCTCCTCGCATGTCTCGGCGGCGACAGTTGTATCATTGAGAGACAGAACAACATCACCAATGGGGACTTGTCGAACGCCCTGGTGCTTCTGAAGAGCAGGAGGAAGATTGTATTTCTCAACATATCTCGGCCTGTTCCAAGGAGTGAAGAATCGGTTCTCCCTGAAGTTGCTATACAAACATATCAGCTAGGCAATCTAGCCTAGGCATGGACAGCAAAACATACCCGTCGTTGGCAAGATAGATTTTGGGGCGAAGGCAGAGCAGTTTTCCATCCAAGATAATAGCACGGCAGTTGTATCGACACCCTCTGTGCATGAGAGGAAGACCAACGTCGATGAGAATGCCATGGAGTTCGGTGTCAGTCAAGATTGCGAGGAGTGACTCCAAGGAATGCTCGTATACGTCAGCCTCAAGGAAATGATCAAGACTATTCAGTTTGTTAGTAACGCCTTGTTATCAAGTATCAAACTGGGCCAGAATCCGACATACCAGCCATAGCCTGTAATCTCGAGCTCAGGGCCCGTTCTAAGCGTAGCTCCAGCTTCCTTGGCGAGAATGATACTCTTGCGAATTCTC